AAATACAGCGATGCTCCATGGAGGACACGTATGTTTGATACCTTCAGAGAACATAGGGAGCCCCTCCCTGAAGGCTCAGAAAAAAGAACTGGCATCAAGCAGCGAGCAGCTTCACAAAGGAGGTAGAGAGTAACAGGAGAAAATTCTACTTACTGATTCTCTTCATTCAAATCGGTTGCTCAGTTTAACGAGCTCTAAATTGGTAAATCCCCAAATTTGATTATATGGTGGCGAAGAAGGCGGCTCTTAAATTTTGAGTCCATTTGTGCTTAGATTCTCACTCTTCCGCAGCCTGGCTCTGTAACCTCTGGCATGTTTCTTTCCCCGCCCTCCGCCCCCCCCCCCCCCAATACTGCTTTTTTTCTTCCCTTAGCCTTTGGAATAGCTGCTGGCACCTACTTTGGGCTAAGGTTAATATATAAAAAGCTTGAACATCTTCTAGCTTTTTTTCAAAATGCTGTTCTAATCACATGACTCCCTGACTTTAAGGTGTGGAAGGCGTTCCACGTTCTTGAGATAAAAGCCAAGGACCTTCCAGGGGTTATGAAGCCTGTCCTTCCTCTCTAGCCTCTTTTTATTCCACTGGTCCTTTCACTGAGGCCCAAGGAGCCTTTTCAAGCCCACTTAGATAAGCTGTGTTCCCCCAACCAGGATCCTTGGTCTCCCCACATTTCCAAACACATTCCTCTCCATTTTTGTATCTCCAGGCACCTCCTCAGGGAATCCTCTGTGACTTCCTCAGATGGGCTCAGAACTTTGTGACACTCACAGGGCTCTAGAAACTCCCATTGTATTCACCAAGCTGCCGTCAGTTCCTGTAATTATCTTCCCTCCAGGGTAGGTTCTGTGAAGGAGCTCACTCGCCTCTTTGGCTCCCGAGTATATTCTCAACACAGAGCACACTGCCCAGCGTGTAGTATGTTCTGATAAATATTTATGGAACGAATGGGTGAGGTCTGGGGGAGGAAGCCTGTAGAGTGTTGAGCTACACAAGTGTGCCCCTTTATTGGAACAGAAAATGTGTCCTCCAGAGAGGTGGAAGGAAGACTGGAAAGGCCACGTGAGGGAGACCCAGAAGGATGAAGACACCGGCACAGTCCAGTGCTGATGGGGAAGCTCGTTGACAGGCTTGGGCATGTGCAGTGAGCTGATGAACGCCGGTGTTGATACTGGAAAATGGGGAATTTACATAGAATGGCACTAAATTCGTCGCTGTTAAAAGGCTTCAAGGATTGGCTAACTTCCCCTCTGAAAAAGTTTCAGAAAACATGCCTTGTTTCTCTAGGCGCAGCATTATTAGCAGTTGACGTTGTTAAGGAGAGAAAGGCATCTCTTATGAGTGGGACTCCTGTACTTTGTGGGTGTTTTCCTGGCTGAGCACATGCTGGCAGCCTTCCCAGGAGCCATCTCATGGATAGCCACCATGAGCTGGCAAGCAGGTAATGTTTTTCCTGTCATTGTACAATCCTTCCGAAGCAAAGAAGCAATGCACGGATCAGATCAAAAGTACTGTGTGAACAATAAGTGCTTCTGTGGAAAAGTCCGTTTGAAGTCTTATTTGGACAGCTGGGCAGACTCACCTTTTGCAGACACAGTTTTCTGTTGTAGTCATCACACTTCATTCAGTTTTGTTATTCACCACGACTTTAAGATATTCGGTGCTTTTTTAGTCCATAAACTGAGCAGGTGAATGGAGAGGGTGGCCATTCGTGGTGCTCAGGAGGCCCCCGTACAGGGTATAACTTGCTAAAATGTGGGAAGCCGTGACTGCGCGGATGTTGCAGCGTTTTGATGCCCGTGTCCTGACTCCCACACTGAATTACTTGGGCGTTCAGTGGCATTTTCACATAAAGGTCACTGATCGGGAACCCCGCAGATCGTGGCCCGCGCCGTCAGGATAGACGGCTGCCAGGGGTGAACTGTGATGAGTGGGAGGAGGGAGGGAGGAGGTAGGTAATGCTGCGTTCGAATTCCGTCAGTCTCTGTTCTCCCGACGTGTGACGGTGGGCCGGTCACTCCATAGCCTAAGCCACTTAATCCATGATGGATAACAAGGCACAGGGTGATTGGGGGCAAAGGGAGATAATAGGCGAAGAGCTGTAGGGAGACACAGTGAGTTTGTCGTAAACTGAATTCCCTCGGCTGCTTCAGCACCAATACGGAGCCGAGGTGGGACCCAGACAGTGTCTTTGAGGATCCTGGGGCGTCGAGCGGAAAGCTGGTCTAGGTGCACCCAAAGCTAGGACCACGCTTTGTCTGCCTTTGACTAAATAATAATGACCATGAAAGGATAGAAGGTTAAGATCATTTGTCTCTACTGGGACTAAGTCCATCATCAGTTTCATAACTTACGTAACACCTGAAAAAATCTTAAGAACTACCACTTCTGCAATTACAGCAGATTGTCGCTTAGGCATTACATTTCTAAACAATATACCTTTTCTTCACAAAACTAGGTCTACTTTTCTCTGCGATGTTACTCCTGCTTCCTTCTGTGATCTCTTTTTCGCGTTCATGTGGACAAGGTCCACGTCTGAGGTTAAGCATCTGGTTGAAAGTCGGCAAACCTTAGTGGCTCATTGAAGTCATCAGGCAGGTGCGTGGATGGGGAACAACCGTGCAAACCATTCATTCCCTCCTCGTCCGCACGTTCTCTGGGTGTTTTCTAAGCGCCTGCTCTGTGCTTGAGTGTGGTGCGTACTACAGGTTCGGTGGGGGGTGAAACCGTCTTTGGGTTCATGGAACTTGCTCTCTAGCGAGGAAGAAAGTAAAACGGCGGTAAAACCGTCCCTCACCCATCACAGGCTGCTAGGGTTGCCTCTGGGCGATCGATACAGGATCGGCCGATTCCAGCCGCTGGGGAAGGGATCACTACGGGAGGTGGATGGGTCGGATGGGTCGGGGATCGGAAGCCTTAGGGAGAGGACTGGGTGATGGTGAGCGGACTGTGTCAAGTTCTGGGAAGCAGACCAGTGGGGCTGGAGCTCGGAGACTGAGCGGGGGCGGGCGGGGGGGGGGCTGCCGCCGAGGGAGGAGCCCAGAGGGGCAGTTTGGAGCCATTTGAAGCAGGACCTTGGTGACGATTTGGGGGAACGTGAGTGAAGAATTTGTAAGCCGGGAAGGACTGAAATGACCAGATCTCTAAAAAGGAACACCAGCGGGATACCGGAGGGAAGGAGTCGGGGAGTGGGAGTCGGGCGTCGGGCGGCTTTCAGGACACTTCTGGGGCAGGAAGGCCTGGTGAGAGGCTCTTGCCCTTGAGACAGAGTGAGGGGCAGGAAGGGGTCGTCTGAGGAGTCTGGGGTGGGGGTGGGGGGGGACGCGGAGACGTGCGCCCGGAGCGGGCGAGGACCGGGAGGCGTGGAGGCGGGCGGAGCGGCCCAGGGAGCGCCCTTCCTTCCACCCGAGCCTGCCCTAGGGCCCCGGGTCCGCGCGTCGGCAGCGCCCTTGGCTGCAATCAGCCGCCCTGAGGCGTCGCGCGTGCAGCGTGGAGCGTGCGGTGGATCCGTCGGTGGATCCCGCTGTGTGACCGGGTCAGCACCGGGGCTGCGACGGCCGCAGCCGGGCCTAAGCGGGGCTGGTGGGGCTGGTGGCTGGGGCCTGCGGACGCCGCGGGGAGAGGCAGCCGTCGTCGTCCGCGCGTCTCCGCGGCCCGGGGGGGAAGGGGGGCGGTCCTCTGAGCGGAGCCGCACCTCACGCTTCGGTCCTTCCGCGTGTCCGTCCGCTCGCGGCGGCGCCTGGGGAGGCCTGAGAGCCGGGGGCCTGAGCCCATCCCTAGCCCGAGGGAAGCCAGGGTGCACGGAGGCCTCACTTTCTTCGACAGATTTTTTTTTTTCTTGATATTTCATGTATTCCTGAGAGACGCAGAGGGAGGAGGAGGCTCCCTGCGGGGACCCGATGTGCTCGATCCGGGGCTCCATCCGGGGCCCGACAGGGGGCTCCATCCGGGGCTCCATCCGGGTGTCCATCCGAGGCCCGATCCAGGGCCCGATCCTGGGCTCGACCCAGGGCTCCATCCCGGGGCCCAATCCGGGGCCCGATCCAGGGCTCGACCCAGGGCTCCATCCAGGGCGCGGGGTCACGGCCTGGGCCGCTCCCCGGCAGAGCCCCGGGCTCCCGCTCCGGCCAGGCCCCCGGCAGGTCGGGCTCCGTGGGGGGCGCCGGCTGGGCTGCGCGCGGGCCCGGGGCTGCCCTGCGGCGCGTACCGACTCGGGGGACGCAGACGTACCTGGTGGCAGGTGCTGAGCAAGCCCGAGCGACACGCGAGTGCGAGACGGTGGACGGGCGCGGGGGCAGGGCGGGGGCGGCCCGGGGCGGCAGTGGCCTTGAGGGCCCGGCGCTCCCTGCGACCCACGCCGCCGCCGCCCGCCCGCGCTCCTCGCCCTCTGCCCCGGCCACTTGGGTCGTGCTGCCTGCCGCAGGCTTGCCCTGCGTCTTGTCCCCGCGCCGCCCTGCTGCTGAGGACGCTCCGTTCCTCAGGCAGCGACCTGGCCCCGGCGGACGCTCGTCCTGGGACCGCGTCCCCGCGCCCTGCAGCCGGAGCTCGTGCCCGGGCTTTGCTCTGCCCTCAGCTGGGCTGGCACCGCCCCTGCCACGCACGCAGGCGCGCGCACAGGCACACAGGCACGCGCACGCACGCAAATATACATGCACGCGCGCGCGCACAGACATACACGCACGCAGACGTACACGCGCACGCAGGCACACAGGCACGCGCACGCAGGCACACAGGCACGCGCACGCAGGCGCGCGCCCGAGCTCTTCCTTTCCCGGTCGGGCGAGGGCTGGTGGAGCCCGCGCGGCCTCCCGGCGGGCGGCGAGGGCCCGCGGGTCGGGGCGCGTGCCCCGGGGCGGCTCACCGCGCGGTGCGGCGGCCTCCACGGCGCGTGCGGCCCGTCGCGAACGCCCCCTCCTTGCAGAGGGCTGGGCCTTCCGCTCTGTGCCGAGGCGCCCCGAGCCCGTCCGTGAGCGGCCGTTCGGCCTGTTGGCGTGTCTTGCAGGTCTTCCTGAAGAGCGACAGGGTGGCCAGAATGGTCCAGAGCGGGGGATGCTCCGCCAGCGACTTCAGGGAGGTGTTCAAGAAAAACATCGAAAAGCGTGTGCGGAGCCTGCCCGAGATCGACGGCCTGAGCAAGGAGACGGTGCTCAGCTCGTGGATAGCCAAGTACGACGCCATCTGCAGGGGCGAGGAGGACGTGTGCAGGCCGCCCGGCCGCGGCGCCCTCGGCGCGGTGTCCGAGCTCATCCTCAGCAAGGAGCAGCTCTACGAGATGTTCCAGCAGATCCTGGGCGTCAAGAAGCTGGAGCACCAGCTGCTCTACAACGCGTGCCAGGTAAGCGGCCAGAGCCCGCGAGCGGGGCGCCCCGTGGCCGCCGGGGCTGCAGCGCCGAGGGGGCGGGAATTCTGGCGCATGCGCCGCGGCCGCAGGCGACGTCACGTCAGGAGAATCACGCGATGGGAGACGAGCGTCAGCGCGCCGGTGCCCTGTGTTCGGGTGTCACGCTTTGGGGCGTGAGGGGCCTGCGGGGCCTGCGGGGCCTGCGGGGCGTGAGGGGCCTGCGGGGCCTGAGGGGCGTGAGGGGCCTGCGGGGCCTGAGGGGCGTGAGGGGCCTGCGGGGCCTGAGGGGCCTGAGGGGCGTGAGGGGCCTGCGCGGCCTGCGCCAGAGAACGGAATGAGAATCCGCTGTTGCCTGTAGCGCCCGAGATCGCCAAGACTGTGCCCGGGAAACCACCGGGGAGCCGACACCGATGCAAACGCACGAGGGCTTATTCACAAGCTCGAGCCTGGGTCCACGTGCGCCCGACACGGCGGAGCGGGGGCTTGGACCTGAGACTCAGCGGCGTGGCAGCTTCTTAGGGGCCGCTGGCCCTTGGGCTGCGCAGGAGGTTGCCCTGTCCTGTGGGTCCACGCGCGGGCGGCCGATTGAGTTGCCTTTTACCCTAAAGTTCTAGTTGAACTGGCCTATCCCTGAGCCCATTTCCGGTTAGGCTGTGCCCCGGGCTTGACTAGGGTGGGGCAGCGCCTTAAGCAAAAGCAGGTCCTGGGGGCGTCATACAGGAGGTGGCGGGTGCAGCACCCAATGGAGTCAGCCCTGCTCTGCTGCTTGTCCGGGGGTAGGGGATTTTTGTTAAATGTCCCGGCTCCCACATTATCAAAGGAAGCTGCGTAATTGATAAGACAGAGATATTCCTGAGTGAGAAATAAGTTGTGGGTTTTTTTTGTTTTTTTTTGTTTTTTTTTTTTTCTGTAAAGTTATGCTCAGGGCACTTGAGGGGCTCAGCGGTTGAGCATCAGCCTTCAGCCCAGGCTGTGACCCCCCCACCCCCCCGGGGTCCCAGGATCCGGTCCCACGTCGAGCTCCCTTCAGGGAGCCTGCTTCTCCCTCTGCCTGTGTCTCTGCCTCTCTCATGAATAAATAAAATCTTAAAAAAATAAATAAAGTTACGCTCATCTTCTGAGTTTTATAGAAGTAATCGAGACTCACAATGTCTTCAATCCAGCCAGATAGAAATGAAGATGTTGCTGTACTACGTGATTTAGAGATGATGAAAGAAAAAAGTACTTTTCTCCTCCGTAGTTATTCTGATCATTCTGATCATTGTGTGGGACAAATTGAATGAAATATGTTCCACGACTTTCATCTTTGGACCCTAGATTTGTCCAATACATTCATTTGATATTTGCATTTTGTTTATTTTAGTGGTATAAATTATTTGACTATGCCCTAATATACAATTTAAATAGACAAAATTCAGGCATTTTGAAATTCATGCTTTCATTAGGAGTTACACTCCTATAATGTACATGATTGATGTCTATTTTTAATCTTTTCACAAATCTCCTAATTCCTGCGTTTTTATATCATTTGCTTTGCATTACTAACATCTGAGTCACTTCAAATGAATAAATTGGCAATTAATAGTAAAGCCTCTTAACCCTGTGAACAATTCATGCATTCATCATGCTTGCTTTCATGGTTAATAATCCAGGCAGTTACTAAATAGTGGAAGATGACTGTAAAACCTCAATCTTCAGTTTTAAAAGATTAATGCAACTGGCCTTTGTATTTTTAATGGAACAGTGGCTCACTTGTACGGTTAAAAATCGATGAACATAACATAGTGAAATTCAGATTCACACATATGGTAGATATTTATTAAGTTTTCAAGTTTTTGACTTGCTAGATGTTGGGAAAACCAAACTGAGCAAATGAAAATATTTGTTCTGCGTATCTCCATATGTTGAAGTCTGATAAAGCAGATGGACCTCCAAAATGAGTTATTAAAAATGCATTCAGATTTATGCTGTGTGTTCCAGGATCATGACATCCTGTGGACCTGTCAGGTTTTTTTTTCTCATAATAGCATCACTGTTGTTTTTTATGTAATTAATTCCTTTATTGGTGTATAAAATCCCTCTTTATCCCTGATAATTTTATCTTTTCTGAAGTCTGCTTTGTCTTAAACAAATATGGCTACTCCAGCTTTCTTTCTTATAGACAACATAAAATTGCCTCTTGGTTTTCTTTTTAATCCATTCAGACATTCTCTGTCTTTTAATGGCTGTGTTTAGACTATTTATATTTAGAGTAATATAGTTGGTTGAGATTCTACAGTCTTTTTAAGTGTTGGGTCATTTCCTTGCATTTGTCCTTTGTCCCCTTCCCCACCCATTTCTGCCTTCTCACATTTGAATCGAGCATTTTATGTGATTCCATTTTGTGGGATTTTCTTTTGATGTGCTACTTGTTTTTTCTTTTTTTTTTTTTTTTTGGAGCTTGTTTAGGGGTTGTTTATTGGTGGCTCTAGGGTTTAAAAATCTACATTTTAAAATGCTCAAGTCCACATTCAGATAACACTCTCAGGCTTCAAGTGTAGTACAGTTGCCCCATAATAGAGGATTTCCAACTCCTCCCTTCCATTGCTTGTGACATTTGTCATTTATTTTTTTTTTGACATTTGTCATTTATTACAATGATATTTCTGTCCTTCATTACCTGATGTTTTTGTCATCCAGTATATGATTACTATTATTTCTTTAAACAGTTAATATTTAGATATTAAGATTAAGAAAACAAAACAAAAATTTGTATATCTTCCCTTGATTCCTTCTCCTTACACTTTCTTTATATAGACCCAAGTTTCTGACTGCTGTCATTTTCCCTATCTTTCTGAAAAACTTCTTTTAACACCTGTTGCAAGGCAGGATGACTGGCGATGAGTTCCTCAGTTTTTGTTTGAGAAAGTCTGTTTTTCCTTCATATTTAAAGGATGATTTCACTGGATATAGGGTTATCAGTTAGCTTTTTATTCTTTCAGTACTCTGCAGCTTTCACCTCACACTTCTCTTGCTTGTGTGTCTTCTAGTAAGTCTGAAACTCCAGTGTTCTGACTCCTTGTCTCACTTTCCTGAGTTTGGATATGATGTGTCTTGGGATAGGCTCTATGGTTCTCTTGGTTGTCATTCTCTGAGCTTTCTGGATCTGTGGGTTTGTGTCTGTCATTCCATTTGGAAGATTCTTGGCCATGATCACTTCACATTTTCCTTCTGTCCCATTCTCACCATCTTTTGGTAGCACAGGAGCATTTGTGTCATTCATCCCCATTTGATATTGTCCCACAATTCTGGGTTGTTTTTTTTGTCTGTTTAATTTTTTAGGCTTTTTTTTTTTTTTTCCACTTTGCATTTGAGATTGGGAAGTTTATGTTGTCCTTTCTTCAAGTTCACTGATTCTCTCCCTCAAAATCCTCAGGTCTGCTGATGAGCCAGTCAAAGGCTGTCTTCATTTCTGATCTCTAGCATTTCACTTGGACTCTTAAGAGTTCCCATCTCCTTCTTTCGTTACCCATCTGTTCTTGCATGTTTTTAACTTTTTCCACTAGAGCCCTTAACATATTAGTATAAGTTATTTAAATCACTTTTTTCTTTTTCTTTTTTCTTTTCTCTCTTTTTTCTCTCTTTCTTTCTTTCTTTCTTTCTTTCTTTTTCTCTTTCTTTTCTTTTCTTTTCTTTTCTTTTCTTTTCTTTTCTTTTCTTTTCTTTTCTTTTCTTTTCTTTTCTTTTCTTTCTTTTCTTTTCTTTTCTTTCTTTTCTTTTCTTTTCTTTTCTTTTCTTTTCTTTTCTTTTCTTTTTTTTCTTTTCTTTCTTTTCTTTCTTCTTTCTATATCTCCATCACCAGTAAATCTCATTGGGGTGCTTGCTTTGTCTTTCCAATCTTTTCTTTTTCTCTTTTGGTATGTTTTGTCATTTTTGTTAAAAGCCAGAGCTATTTTATTTAAATCACTTTTTTCTTTTTCTTTTTTCTTTTCTCTCTTTTTTCTCTTTCTCTTCTTTTCTTTTCTTTTCTTTTCTTTTCTTTTCTTTTCTTTTCTTTTCTTTCTTCTTTCTATATCTCCATCACCAGTAAATCTCATTGGGGTGCTTGCTTTGTCTTTCCAATCTTTTCTTTTTCTCTTTTGGTATGTTTTGTCATTTTTGTTAAAAGCCAGAGCTATTATATCAGATAATAAGAACTGAGGTATGTTAGCCTTTAGTATGAGGATTTACATTAATATTGACTGGATGTTAGGCTGTGTTTCATGTTTGCTATAATGTATGTGGGTACAAGACGCTTCAAGTTCTTCTAATGTCCTTATCTTTGTCTCCTCTTTTGACTTTAGGCTTCCCCAAGTATTCGTTGTCAGTAAGTCTGTCATAGCTCTGAGCCTCTGCTGTTAAACGGGGGCTGTGTTGGTGTTGTGGCAGAGTGTTGGCAAGTAGGCGCTGGTCTCAGATTTTTCGTGGCCTCTGTCTGGGGGCTGTAGCCTGCATGGATGTTTCTGTCCCTCTCCACCGTGTGACTTATTCCCTTCCATGCCTGGATCATCCCTAGTCTGTTTTCTTGAAAGCCCTTCCCCCTCCCTTCGTTCACTTAGGGTTTGTTTCTCCCAGTAGAAGAGATCAGAAGGCTGCAAAAGGCTGCAGAGGATAACCTTTTCTCTCTCCAGCTGGGACAATTCCAACCCCTCTGTTATGTAGAAGAATGTGGGACATTTAACAGTGGCTTTTCTTTTCTTCCTGCAAGTCCGCATGGGGATCTTTCTTGGATCCCCTATCATGAGAGCTCGGTGGGGTCACTGGAGGTAAAAGCCAGCAGAGTAGGGGAACTACCTTCTGATTTTAGCCCCAGGAGTTTCTAACTCTCTGTACTCAGCTTCTAGTAAATGACCAGTCAAGTAAGTGGTCCAACTCTTTATGGCCTCCACTGACTTCTGCTCCTGGTGTTGTACCACAATTTGGTTTTGATCTCCAGGGTTTGGGTTAGTGGTTTGCCATGCAATCTTAGTTCTCTC